CCTCCCTCCATCTCCCACTCTGGTGTGTAATTGTGCTGCCAGAGTGGTAGTTGTGCAGCTTGGGGCGAAGCCAGAGGGAGCAAATGGAGCAGCCACTGGTCTCAGGAGGGCTCCCTGTCACAAGTGTGTCTGAGATTTAATGACATGTGTGCTCTTTCAGACTTTCTAGAGAGGTCAGCGCATGGCAGGAAACTTTTCTTTGTCGTCTTCCTAGGGAGAGCAGCACACAAACTTTTGTTTCCAAGCTGAAACCAACTGCTCCCTCAGGGCTATGTAACAAACTGCTCCTGAAGCTGGTTTCCCCTTGTGAATGACCTAAATTAGACACTCTCCCTGCTTGCCCTCAGTGGAATAGCTTGTGCTTTATCCAGACATTTTGTTTGTGCAATGTGCTACAAGATGTTGATAGTACTCGTGTCTGGTTCCTGCTGCCCTGTATTGTTCCCTGTGGGAGCTGTTGCATGGAAGGTCTGCTGTTCCAGGGAGTATAGGAGAAGGAACCGTAGGCACCTGGAGTCTCATTTTGATTCCTACTTTGCATCCTGCTTTGTTTTCAGAAAGTTTATTTAGTAATAATTTCTGATACCTTTGGAGCAGGTTAACAAATTGGCATGAGCCCAAATAAAGCCCTTTGGCTCACAAGGCTCTTTTTGAAGTGTTGGGATCTGCTCACCTCCTTATGGATCCCTTAAAGCTTTAGTTTCAAAATCCTTTTTGCATACTGAGTTGATATTGTGGTGACAGCTGCAGGGTAAGTTGTCTTCATTCCCATCTACTGCTAACATTTTTGGCAAACCAGTGCATACAGTTCAGTCTTAGACATTTCTGACTTCTTCTCTACAGAACTAAAAAAAAATATCTTCACTGTTTAAGACCAGGAAAGAGTTTTGAGTCACCCAGACAGTCCAGCTGTGACCTCTGTGTGTGTGTCTGTGTATGAGCAGCTCTGCTGGAGTCTCTGGGTGGGCACCTCCTCCTTGAGCATGGGGCAGAGCTCAAGCTCTCCAGGGTCACCAGTCGCTGAACAGGCAAGTTGAAGCTGCTGTGCCCACGATTCATCTCAGGTCTAAGAAGGCTCATTTTGACCTAGTTGCATCATTAACCTGGGTACGTAATCTGAAGCATGTGAGTGGGTAACTCAGACCTTACAGGGAAGGAGAGTATCACCAGCTTTCATCCTCTGACTGCTGAGCCATCCAAGGGGTTGATTTCTCACAGGCAGGATGGGAGATTCTCTCCATGTTCCAGTATTTCGTGCTGAGGTGCTAGTGGAGTTGGAATGGGTCTCTCTGACATT